GGCTGCCAGAGCCTCTCCTGGAAGTCAGTACTAAAAACCCAAGGCTTGTGTTGTTTAAGGCAAGTACGGGTCTTATTTAAATTCCATACAGTATTCGAAACGTTGCGCTGACGGGGGCTGTGGTTCTAAGGCAGCGTTGCATAACCATTGCACAGCTGCACAGTTGACGGGCCTAAGCGACACATGACCTTCCAACAACTTATCCGGCTCCACTTTCATTAAATTTGCAATAAAAGAATTAGCGTTCTGCTGTAGCTGCATAATTGATCTAAAGAAAAACACCAGAACGAATAATTGTTTTGGAACACATTCATTATGTGTAACCCCGTAACGCCAAACAGGCTTCTGCCTTGTACAGATTACAGGACGATGTACTTTGTGTAGTCCTCCTGACAGTGATTTAAATCATGATTTAAATAAAACATAACTACTCTTGGTTGGAAAAACAAGTAGGTACACAGTTCCTACGAGGCGGAAACAGGCAGGAATACAAACAGTGGGTGTTTACGATGGAGGGGAGGCATGCGTGGGCACGAAGGGGCCAAGTCCTTGCCACTTGGAGGCAGGCAGACATTCGGGCAGGCTTCTGGCTTCACCTTTAAGGTGACGGGCACACGGTCGGTTGTCCCAGGAGCTTTACCTGTCATATACAAGATGTTTTTCCATGTCCCTCATCTCGGGACACCTCAGTTAGAGCTCAGCAGAGCCAAGAGCAAGCCTCCGGCAGTTGCCAGGAAAAAGGACACACTCCCTGTGCACAGACCTGGGGTCTGTTAGCACAGGATAGGAGACGCTTCTATGTAAACTGCTGTTGGGAGAAAACCTGATCCCTAAGAGATGAGAATGTGAGCTACTGACATTCCTCACTATAAAAGTCAAACTGACCTGCAAGGCCCTGGCCCCCCAGCTCCCTCCACCCCTCCTCATAAACCCTCTCGGTCACGCCCCATCGTACTGGACTTTGCACTGGCTGTTCCCTCAGGCTTGGAGGCTCTTCCAGGCTGTCACATGATCAACTCCCTTACCTTAGGATTTGGGGGCCTTTCCTGACTGCCTTACCTAAAATTGCAACTCCACCCTCCTCCCCACCTAGCCCATGTCCTTTTTCCCCAGAGCACTTGTCATGCTATCCCACTGCTCTAACGATCCCGTTCCGGTCTCCCCTGCACTGGAACGGAAGCCCGT